CTCCACGATTTTTGCAATATCCTCGTCACTCTTGGGTATCTCGAGAAACTCTGCGAGATTTTGCACGGTCTCGCATGGGTTTGATAGCATCTCTTCGTATCTCAAGGTCAGCATTCGACTATTGTGGCGACGTTCCCAAAAGCCTCTTGTGTGGTCAAACCAGTCGCCATACACGAGTTCTTTGTTCAGAAACATATCAAAGTATTCAGCCCACGTCCCAGGCCATTGCCCAAGTAGATCTTTATTGCTGCGATAAAAATGAAATAGCGACACTAGCACATCTTTGGGATTTCTGGTGATGTGGATAAACCGGGCCTTAGTGTGGAACATGTGCAGCGGAAGGAAGTCATAAGCTAAGTGCGTGCGCAACTGCCTCGGTTTTCGAACAGTGTCCAAGAGTTTATGATATGTCGTGCCGTTATATGCTGGTGCAAAATCCAATTCCAATGCGTCCACGCGGAATTTGAAGTTGGTGTTCCTCTCCAGCTCTGAGAAGTCGCAATTGATCAACATTTGGACCATGTCCATTGTCCATGTGGATCCTGAAATATTGATAATATTGATATAATATATATATTCCTGGAATACTAAAAAAGATTTAGATAATATTACTACAGGGTTTTGTCAATTTTACACGTTTATCCTCAAATATTGGAAAGTTTTTTTTAAATTTATTTGATATAGTATATCACACATTGCCCACGACGATTCTGAAATATTGAAAATTGATATTGTTTATTGTCTGTGTGGATCCTGAAATATTGGAGAGGTTTAGGTGATACAAAGAGATAAACATTATTATTATTATAATTGCAGAGAAACGGCTAGCGTTCAGAATTATTTCGTCAGCAGATGCAATGAATAGTAGAATATGGCATAATATTGTCACAAAAGGTAGGCCTATTTGATAAAAACAATCGATTTATTTTAAATTCCTTTCATACGCACCGGGGTACCCAGTATGATTATTTGCTAAATTGTAAGTAATGTTTTAACATTAAAATGTCAATTTAATAAAGGGCCTTTTGGGAAAGTGTCCCTTATTTCTTTATATGAAATGTGAAATTTCTGATGTACACTGATTTTTTTTAACTTACCTGTTTGCCTAAGACACATATTATGCAAGCAGTAAGCACAGTGCAACCTTTATATATTACTATAATTTATATTAATATCTAACCTCTTAACGCTTCAATAAGCCATTTTTCATACGATGTCTTCACTTTAATGGTTCATGCCTGGTTGTCTATGAAATTTGAATATATATAATAAAACGACTACCTGAGCGCGGGTACCCAAGAACAATAATGTCGTCATCGCTGAAGGTCTTCTGGCCCAGGGCTTCTATAGAACTGCTAGGACACAAGCGTGGTAATATGATGTTCTTGTAACGATAAAAGAACCGCCCGTCAAGTTTTCTTCCATGCGAAATTGCGACATCGTCGGGTGCTACATGTATGTCTCTTGTATTTGGTCCCGCCATACCTGTAAGGACATTTGACACTTGCTTTTCTTACATCTCACCCTTGTAACTGGCATGGTTGGAAAGAATGGGAAAATTATATATCTTAAGTCATATTAATTCACATATGATTATCTAATCCTAGTTAATATTTTAATTTGTATTTTTATCTATTTATCTATTAATTTATTGCATCTTGTAAATAAAAAATACATTTGTGAATTGTTTTAAAAAGAAAAATATTTATAAAGATACTGTATACAAATTAAGATTTTTCAACCTACGTACGCGTAAAAGTACATATCGCCTGGGCGGCAAGATTGTCCTCAAGTCAACGAATTCCCTTATATCAAAGATGACCTACATGCTCTTATATCATCAACCTAGTGCCCTAATTGTAACAACGTCCAACTCTGTGCGCATTTTTGCCCCGCTTTTTCTTATAAAGAAACCCTGAGAATTGCTCTCCCGTAATACCGTGATACGGAATCACAAAGACTGAGAATAGTTAATGGAGAATAAGAAATATCGGTGCTCACCATGCTATATTCAATCTTGGACGAACAATAGGCAGCTTGGACAAATAACGATTCAATTCATTTCTGTACTGGTACAAAGATTAACATGACGTTGTGCAATATACTATAATAATTATACAATGGATGCATTACCATGTAACAATTTCGATATATATAAATATCTTTAATTTGACCTGTTACGAAAAAAAGTCCTACAGCAAATCACCTTCCGGTTCCTTTCGTAACAGGTCAAATCAAGGAAATATAAGGATATATATGTGTGTGTGTGTGTGTGTGTGTGTGTGTGTGTGTGTGTGGTTGGGAAGCTTGGGAAAAGAATGTGTGTGTGTTGACACACACACACACACAGAGCATGGTTTACGTACCCCCCCCCCCCCCCACAGGGAGCTCCGTCATGCTCTGTAAGGTGTAATAAAATGGTATTTCACACAATTTTGGAACAAGCTACTCACGGAGACCCCTGTCGGAGGGTACGGTTGACGACCCTGGCTTGCACCGAGGCCGCGAGGAGAAGCGACCTGAAGGTGATTTCCATTAGGACTTTTTCGTAACAGGTCAAATCAAGGAAATATAGGATAAAAAGTTAATGTAATTCCTTTGTCAAATGTAGATTGTATGGTGACGTCAACTGACTACCACATTTCCCCAGCCAAGTTCGGGTGGGGGTGGGGGGTGGGGGGGATCTCTTCGTATTTTCCGTTGTAACATGACAAAAACTTCCCCGTGGTAGAGTCCGATTTCCCATTCATTTGTTCATTTGTACAGGTAAGCCTCGCCCTAGATTATGACCCTGTTATGTCAGGCTAACCCTAACCATCATAAAAACCTTCTGTTACACGGACCCTCAGTTTCGTTACACCGGTCTAATCTTGTACATGGATGTGGTACAGCTGAGAGAGGGACTCCGCTCTAAAAGATAGGGGTTGAGTCCATGATTTACTACCGTCTGAGGTTAACATTAGGTAAAAGAGAGTCTTGCTTATGTCTAGGGCAGTGTCAGAACATGGACATGGTGCCCTTGCTTAAATTTATCACCTGTATAGTTGACCCTCGACAGAATAAAAGAACGTTATTCCTTTTTCATTCCTATTCACATTTTACACTGCGGCCCAGTAGCAAAAGTCCGAAGGTTCAATGGTCCGAATGTTCACTATAGAACCTTCGGACCAATGAACCCTTGATTAAAAAAACGATGACATTTTACCGTTTTTCGGACCAGTGAACCTTCGGACTATCGAGACGCCCCCTTACACTACTATATAAAATCTCCAGTTACTGAAGACGTCTCGGTAAAAATGTTTTCCGTGAACGCGTCCTTGGCTAAGCGAATCCCTCCCATTTTGGCGTTTCAGTCATATAAATGATTTAAAAACCATACCTTTACACTGAATTCCTTTTATAAGACAGCTAGCAGTACTTCCAGCGCGAGCGTTCCTTGCTATCTGAAATGTCAACTGTGCCTGGGTTATTATATATATAGGCATCAAATGAGGACAACAGACAAACGGGCAATGAACCTTTACACAAATGAACCTGTTTTCTTTTTTTGGTCTCCATTATTCCGATTATGCATTAATGCAGTATTGCGTCAGATTGAAAATTTATACCCTTAGAAGTCACGTTCTTTTATTATTCGTCTCTCTCGTTGACTGCGTACATGAAAAACAGGTTCCAATTACATTGTTGAGTCACTGCTCTAAATCATCCGGTAGATTTAGCATCAAGAATATATACAAATCAAATTATGCAACTTACGTGGTAAATTTGAACGACGAGCCGACGCTGCTGTCACACCAGAGATTTGTCACAAGGTTAATGACCTGGATGTACAGGTCGCCTCATTTGACTCCGGCGCCCCTTCGTCTCATTGTTTTTTATTAGTGCCAAAGAGAGAAAAACCGCGTTACCTCTATTTGAACCCGAACTGATTGTAAATTTTGTGCTACGGAACCTCTTATAACTTGTCACCTGCGCCAACTGACCGTTGTTTTCCTAAGGTTTGAAAGTAAATGGAACACAAACGGTCACTGACCTTTTCAGACAGGTCATTGACTGCGAGGTCAGTAACCAACACACCTTTATAGCAGACCATCATAGCAGACAGTTAGGGCAACGACAACATTAGGAATGTTTTATTCATATTTCCTCCTACTGCAGTATAATAGATAGTCTGTGGTGACTGACGACAAAAATGGAAATGACAGATAGGGCATTGGCCTACACTGCAGGCTAGAGGCGTGCAAATCACATACTGGTAGTTTAAGCCCCCTTTAAACTGGACAGCGTCCTTTCTGCGTCCTTTGTGCGCCCATGAAACTGGGATCGCTGTGGTCGTACTGTAGAAAGAAGTCACAAGCATCGCTTTGGCTGCAGATTGAATGCTCAATGGTGGGCCAGTTGTCGGCACGTCAAGTATTATTTTATTTACTCTCAAACGGGGCCGTACTACCAGTGTAAAGGGGGCTTAAATAAATAAAAAACACTCAAGACGTGCACGCATATAGGGGCACTGGAGAAAACCTACGTGAAATAAAGGCAAGTTGCATCATGCTTGTATTCAGCAAGAGCCCCACATGGGGTTAGTGCGCACTAGCCTGTACGATGGATTCATTAGATAACAAGAACCAGAAACTCATGCGCACCTGATGATTAGGTCAGTGGGTCGGGTTATCTAAAAATAACAAAATAAAACTTAATGGAATACAGGGCCGTAGCCTGAGCAAAATGCCAGGGGGGGGGGGGGGGAAGAAAGCGGACAACAAGGGGGGGAACCCCCGGGGGGGGGGGGGGGGGTCCCCCCACCAGGGGGGAAAATTCAAATCCCAGGGGGGGGGGGGGCCCCCCCTCCCCCCC